TATATGTGTGTGTGTGTGTGTGTGTGTGTGTGTTACATATATGTGTATGCACAATAAATATAATCCTTTATGAGCATAAGATGTCAAAGAATAATAATGGGCCAAAGTTAATATGGAAAAACTCACAAGTAAAGTAAGTGAGTGAAAGTGGAGATCGTCAGAGAGGAATGAGGACAAAGAGGAAGAGGGTCTTACCTGAGTTGGAAACAAGAGAAGTCAAAGATACAGAACTCAAACTGAGACCCAACTCTCTAATGGGGGAGGCTCCGTACATTCACAATCAATGTTCAGTATTCATTCACTTCCACTAGATATATAATGAAAAACAGAATTTTAAAATTGCCATGATCTTCTCCTTTAAGGAGCTCAGAGCCCAACATAAAACCACAAACATGAAGCAACCATCAACAAGAGTTAAAATTCTAAGCTTTATACTCACACTGACCTGGTGTGGTGGTTTGAATGATAGCAGCCCCCATTGGTTCATATGTTTGAATGCTTGGTCTCCAGTTGGTAGAACTATTTGGAAAGGATTAGGAGGTGTGGCCTTGCTGGAGGAAGTATGCAGCTGGAAGTGGACATTGTGGTTTAAAAATATTCATGCTATTTAGAGTCAGTTCTTTCTGCCTTCTATTTGTGGGTCAAGATGTAAGCTCTCAGCTGTGTGTGTTTGCTCAACCATCATGGACTCTGACCCTCTGGAAATGTAAGTCCAATTAAATGCTTTCTTTTATAAGTTGCTTTGGTCATGTTATTTTGGCACAGCAATAGAAAAGTAACTAAGACAGAAGTCGGTAATGGGAGTGGGGTATTGTCATGACAGGTCTGACCAGGTGGTTTTGTGGGGAAATGTGGAAGCCCTTGGGACTATGGACTAGGAAAGCACTGGAATACTGTAAGCAGAACTTAATGCACCATCCTAAGTAGTGCTAAGAACTATACAGACTGTGGAAGCCCAACTCAAGAGATTGTAGAGGGGAGCAATATTAGCAACTGGGATAGAGACTATTCTTGTCTGGCAAAAAAAAAAAAAAAAAAAAAAAAAATGTGGCTGCTTTCTGCCCTTGTCTTAAGAATTTGCCTGAAGCTAAATGTAAAAGTAATGGAAGAATTTATTTAGTGGGGGAGACTTCAAGACAACCAAAGATTGACTCTATCTATCACATGGTTATTAGTAACCATTCTTATCAGGTCTACAGTGAAACAGAACAAGCGGAGAAAAAAGAAATACAATATGTACATTTTTAAGAGATTAAAAAGCACCAGGAAACAATGTTAGAGCCAAGGTTTGTGCTGAAAGAGTAAAAGGAGGCCAAGGGGCAGCCTAATCTATATTAGGATAATGGGAAGGGTGTCTTCAGGGCAAGACCCTACCCAGTTAAGCTTCCAATTTGTGAAAATCAAAGACCTGTTGAATTTTCTACTCTCCAAAAGCAACAACAAATCAACGCTGCTACAAATGTGATTCAAGGGTGCCAGGGTTCACTCAAGTTGCTCGTCAAACTTAGCAGCATCATCCAAGTGGTTCAGGCTTTAGTCATAAAGGATATCCATGCAAAGAGGCTATACAATCTTCGTCTGTGGTTAAGGGAAGCTGCAAGGCAAGGAGTGTGGCAGGGGAATCTCTGCATGAAGACCCTGAGAAGCCGTTGAATGGAGCTATAAAAATGAAACCTGGATTGTGTTGGAGGACCCAAGGTGTTAGATGTCCTGGAACTATGGGACATCTACCAAAGAGAACTGCACACAGGGAGTGGAACTAGCCCAAGAGATAGAAGTACATTGCAGTTAGCAAAACTGGAAAGACAGGGCCATCTAAGCCCTCTGACACTAGTGCTGGTGGCCATTTCAGGGGAGCAGGAGGTGGCAATTGAATCAGTCCACCAAGAGGAAAATCCCTGATGGGTGAATCTCAGATAGGCAAGGCCCCAAGACGACAGACTTCAGAGTATCTTTTGCTTCGCCTGTGCCTTTACATGTTTGCCACTACCATCTTTCTCTGGTGTCTGGCATGGTGTGAAGGGGAGTGGGGAGATCCCCACTGCCTGCAATGTAGTGTGTTTATCTCATGGATAAATGTCTTCCTGGGCATTTTTTTACCTGTGGATTATAATGAAGATGATTTCTTCCTAAGATGTACTGTCTAATTGATAATAATAATGTTAGCTTAAATAGAGTTTTGATGATTAAGAACACATGAGGTTCTATTGAGGAGCCATATAGACTATGGCTTAGGTTAATGATTAAGAAAAACAATTGAGTCCCAGTAGCCCAGCTAGTTTAAATTCTAATCTTAATGTTAGGAGATGGGTTCACAGGTTTCAGAGTGCATGATAGCTGAAACAAAGCTTTGAAAATAACTTAAAGTTAGACTAAGGTGCTTTTGTTAAATAGCTTTGAGGTTAAAAAAAAATCCAAGTCTAAAATCTAAAGTTTTAGAAAAGCACATAGTTGAGTGAGGAACTCATCAAGGTCAGGGAACAAATACAAAGCAGCCCAATTAATGTTAGCTGACATACCTTTCTTGCTAGGGTTGGTTGATGACCAAAGGTGATGATTAATTTCTTATAAAAATTTCTGTCCTCAATCTCCTGATATAAAAAAAAAAACTATTGAGTTGGGTATTCACCCTAAAGATTTGAAGTAGAGCTGACCAATTGTTTTTCATATATAAAAGTTTAAGTTCTTGATTCCTCTAAAATTCTTTAAAAGATTATCCTTCAAGATAAGTAATAAAGTGATTGGTCCTTTCTTTGTAACCACAAAATGCAGCCTGCCAGTGAAAGAATACCTTGCTTGCCTATGCTGTTAATCTATAACAAATTGTTTGGATATGAATGTGCATGGGTTCTTGGGATAATTTGTTTTTCACCTATAATATATAAAATGTTTAGTCGTGTTAAGAGATATGGAAAACATGCTGTTTTTTACTTGTATTCCTTGTAAATCAGTCACTTGAAAAATATAATGTAGCTATACAGAGAAACCCTGTCTCGAAAAACCAAAAAAAATATATATATATATAATGTAACCACAGTGTCATTTTTATATTGCCTGAAAGATTTTGTTGGGGTATATAAGCTGTAAGAGGAAGAATAAAGATAGAGTTAGAAGGAAGGAGAAGGAAAACATCAAGAATGAGAGAATGAAATCACTAGGAAAATAAAGAAAATGGAAAAAAAGAATAAAGAAAAGATCTGAAGGAAACCATCAAGGGAGTGTGTAAGTATCTTTCCCCTTAACCCCTCAGATTAAAAAATGTCTAGTATACTGACTCCATGGATTCCCTTTGAGCCTTGTGCTGTTGGAGGCTGGCCCCCAGGCAGCAAAACACTAGACATGGAACTACAGGGTTTAGAGTTTTCCCTGCTGAGTTTCAGTCTTGCTTTGGTCCAGTATTTCCTCACAGTGCCCCAATTTCTCCATTTAAAAATGATAATGGATATTCTGTGCCAGTATATGTTGAAACTATGCAATTGCTTTTTGATTGGACAGGCAATTACAATTAAAAGATTGTTTTGAGTCTCAGAAGAGACTTTGAACTTTGGACCTTAACATGGTGTTGAGAGTGTATAAAAGAATATGGGGATGTTTGAAGTTGGACTAAATGAATTTTGCATTATAATATAATCACAGGTCTATGGAGGCCAGGGAGTGGAATGTAGAGGTTTAGATGAAAATGGGTCCCACAGGTCATATGTTTGAACACTTGGTCCCTAGTTGGTGAAACTGTTTGGGAAGAATTAGGATGTATGGCCTTGCAGGAAGAAGTATGTCTCTGTGGGCAGGCTTTAAAGTTTCAAAAGACTCACGCCATTTTGTGTTAATCCTTTCTGCCTCCTGTTTGTGGAACACGTTATGAGCTCTCAGATGTTCCTGCTGCCACGCCTTTGCTCAGCCATCATGGACTCTAACACTCTAAAACCGTAAGCGCGATTAAATGTTTTCTTTCATAAGTTGTCTTGATCATGGTGTATTGTCACAGCAATGGAAAAGTAACTAAGACATTTAGAGCGGCCACTTACCTTTTTTTACCTGCCAGCATATTTTTAACCTTTGAGGGCAGATCTCTACTACTGTAAAAACACTAACAATCAACATGTGGATTGAATCAAGCACTACTATTAAATCTTACGGCCAAAAAGAGCTTACGGGGATTTTGATGGTGATATTGTAGAAGGCCTTTGTACTGAAGTGATTCTCATCCCAGCTGTCCATTAAACCCACCCAATTACTTGAAAATACAAAGTGCTATTGCCTATGTCCCGCTCTAGATTAATATTATCATTTAAGCATCTGGAGCTAGGACTTTACCATCAATGCTGTTAGATGATCCCCTTGTACCCTCTAGTTTGAGTATAGAAGACTATAACTTCAAGGGGAGGGGGAAAATCACACTGGGCCTCCCAGAACTGGTGATTCCAGACTCTCATTGCTAGCATGTGACTCCAACAAAAAACAATGGGAAGAGTGTCAGATATTTAGCAGACATTGACAAGGCCTCAAGGAGAACTGCATTTTTCCTTTCTGGAAATATGAAAAATGGTTCCCCTCTGTGCTGCATCTCCAACTCTGAATTCTCTCCTTAAACATCTCTTGCCTTTTAAACTTGCTTTCAACCTGGAACACATTGATAACCAAAAAATTCACAGCCATGTCACAGGGACTGAATAATCAATGTCAGTGGCCTATTGAGTGGTGTCTTGGCCACACTGCCGTTCTCACTCAAGTGACCAGCATGCCAGAAAAACCCTCTGATGTATGGACCCTGAGGGTGCCATATCAAGTTCACGATTATCCTTAAGGTAAAAAAGGCATTCTTATGGCTCCTACTTATGCAGCCATAGGTCCATGATAGCTAATACATTTTCAGAGAAGCTATCAGAGTGAAAGACACTTAAGGACTTGGGCAAATGTGAGCAGCCACTTCAATCAACCCCTAGCATTCATCCAACTTCCTAGAAATTTTATCAAATGCTTTTCACCTCTTTGTTGTAATATGTAAGGAAAGATACAATGCACAGGACTCCCCAAAGTTCCCAGTGAGGTGTCATTGACAGAAATCCCACTTGAATTAATCTAACCCCACAACCCTTGAGGAGGCAAGTGAGTATGCAGATTCCAGCAAGACATCCCCTGATTTAGACATAAAACCAGCTCAGAGAGCCTGCAACATCAAGATGCAAGACACTTTGGGGCTGTGAGTCAGTTTTCTTCTCCAGGCAATTAGCAATTACCAGCATTTATTCAGTGAATGGGAGTCAGGCAAACAGACAGACGCTGACAGTCTGTCATTATCGCACAAAAGAACTGCAGCTTTTATCCTCTCAGAGGAAGGAAGACTTTAAGAACTCCTCAACTTTCGGGATCACACACTTTGCAGACCTATGATTTATTTCATCATCAACCTTAAAAATAATAGAAAGTTCAGCCATCTCTATTTGAGGAGCTGCTCGCAGGTGCACCTCCCAAGACTCCCATGGAGCTCAGAGAAAGTGTTGACAGAGACAGAGAACACAGAGGCACTGAGTCAACAGCCCACAGAGGGCGCCGGGCTGCACCACTCACATGGGCTCACTCCTAGGAAGGGTGCCTGTTCTAATTTCATTCTTGTTGCTGTGGTATAATAAGTGAATAAATCTTTTTTGAAAAAAAAAATACTCTGAGAAAAAGCAATTTAGAAGAGGAAAGGTTGCAGTCCATCACTGGGGGCGGGGGGATCAAAGCAGGAACTTTGAACAGCTTGTCACACTATATCCACAAGCAAGAGAAAGAAAACAACTGATGCATGCAGGCATACTTGCTTGCAAGCTGCCTTGCTTGCTGAGTTCTGCTTGATTGCTCCACGAATACAGTTCAGGACCCCTGATGAAGAAATGGTGCTGTCCACAGTGGATTGAATTGTCACACATTAATTAAATAATGCTCCACAGATATGCTCACAGGCCAACCCAATGTAGACAATTCTTCAGTGAGATACTCTTCACAAACGCTCCTAGCTTGTGTCAGGTTGACAACAAAAGCTAACCACCCCAGCACCCTTCCTATGAGCTTCCTTCCTTCACTATGGCAGATTGTGTTTCCCTGTGTTCAAATCAAACGTGATAATTACTTGTCAAGTGCCAGTTAATGAGCCAGTACAAGATACTCATAGAAGTCAAAGTGAATGGATCATCTATCCATGGACCCGGCTCTCTTCAGCTACAGGCTTTCAGTTTGGCCAGAAACTGAGGAAGACAGCCAAAGGCAACTGGGAGTCTGCTGGTTAGGTTACAATCCAGCACAGTCTAACTAACCTCAGTCAGGTCTCTCTCCAATCCAGAACAGTCAGGTCTGTCTCCAACGTTGGTGAAGCCTAATTTAGAAAAAAGAAAAAAGAAAAAAAAAACACTTCATCTGGGACTTAGTTCAGCTTCCTTGTTTGACAAAATCATAAAATCTACCTCGCATGAAATAGAGACTGTCTACAGAAAGCACGCTCTCTTGCACATCACAATGCATGGTCAACACAGACAGGTATTAGGAGTTAAGAGCTGGGCCTACTCTTTGTCAGCCAGTAGTAAAATATCCTTACCATTAAGTCTTAGAGCTCTGTCCTTTAGTGTGTTAAAGGCCAGTCCTTTCTATTCATTCCCACCTGAATTACTGCCTTTTGGTGGGCCTCAGTGAGAGTGGAATTCCAGGCAACCCTGTGATCTGGTGTCTGTCCAGAGCACCACAGTTTTCCAAGCCTACCGATCCATTTTGCCTTCCCTCACCCCTCCAGGACCAATTTTTCCATAAAGGATCCCGTGTAAACTGTGGCATCTAAAATACTAAACTCTTCTTTGCAGCATGTTCGGGCACTTAAAACACAGGGGGAAAGCTGGTGTTCCTCCCTCCTTGCTGTCATTCTGGCCCTGTAATCTGACTCTTTTCAACTTGGAGCCCTCTCTAGAGACTTCCAGACTTAGATCCTCACACTCTGTTACACTTCTCACTCGAACCCCCACCGTGTGCCAGGTCTTTCTTCCTGTTCTCCTAGGTTCTATGACAATCCGGTACTGGCTTGAATTCCCTAAACATTCTTTACCCACAGTATGTGAACTACAGCCAGATTAAAAGCACCTCCTTGTAAATCAGAAATAAAGTCACACATGGAAAAATACACATATGCACACAATTGCACAGTTACAAAACATGTGCAGGAAGACGTGCTTAACATCATCTTAATCAATTCTTATGCAAAGCCAACCTGCTTATGTTTCTCTTCACAATGTTTTTCTTTTTCTTAGTCCAGTCTTCTGTACTGCTGTACTTTGAGTATGTCCCACCAAAATTCATGGGTTAGAAACCTCATCCCCTAAATCATGTGTCATGTCAGTGATGCTTTAGGGTGAGGCCACACCGGGAGTCATGTAGGACTAGATGAAGTCATGAGGAGGGGCCACTCCTCTATTTCCTGAGCTGTCCCCTCCGTTTCCATTATATCATCCTTCTCTTCGTCCTGCATCTACATCAGCATCTCGAAGCCCAACTTAGATCGCATCTATCCCGTAAAGCCTTCCTTAACTACCCCCTCCAACACATGGTTTTCTTCATCTGTATATATTACAAATCACTACTGGTGACAGAGTTTGACAAATGAATTTAACTTTTCCACAGTAGGAGAAATGGTCAGGAAAGAGTAACGGGAGTGTAGATAGCAACGTAAGAGTATGAACCATGCTCCAATATAAGTTTTGGGAAAGAAGAATTTGAAGAGTGTTGGCCATCATGGTTTGACTGATTTCCCTCCAAAACTCATGTGAAGGTCTAGTTGTATTGTCACAGTGTTGGGGAGGGGGGCTCCTAAAAGATGGCTGAGCTATGAAGATTCCTGCCTTGTGAGTGGGACCAATGCACCACTGCAGAAAAGCAAGTCCAGGCCCTGTTTTGTTTTGTTTTTCTGTTTTTTTTTTTGTTTGTTTGTTTGTTTTTATTTTTTCAAGACACCATTTCTCTGTGTAGTTTTGGTGTCTGTCCTGGGTCTCACTTTGTAGACTAGGCTGACCTCGAACTCACAGAGATCCACCTGCCTCTGCCTCCCGAGTGCTGGGATTAAAGGTGTCCACCACCACCTCTCAGCCCAGGCCCTATTTTATCTCTAGGACTTCTTCTGATGCTGGACTTGGACTTCTAATGCTCCAGAATAGTGAGGCAGTAAACTTCCATTTATTATAAATGATCCACCCTGTGTTCTGTTTTAGCAGCACAAAATGAACTAAGATAATAAGAATTTCTTTTTGAACAGATAGGTAACTGACAGTTAAGTCTGAGAGAGCCTGGCATAATGAGTTTTAGCGTGTGTGTCTATCAGTGGTTCCTATCTAGACAAATATCAGTAGATTCTGAGTGTCTCGGAGAGGCAAGCTTTTCATTAATAAGCATGTCCTATCAGATGTTTTTATCAACTATTTCCACAATAATGCTGACAAATACAAAGGATCTCAGTTGCCTACAGTTCTACTCATGCATTCACAGAGGTATAGGATTCTGTGCACCTGGTTGATTCTGCTTCTTACTGCAGGTCTACACATCACCTGCAGCACCTGTGCTATATGGCAATCCTGCTTGCATCTGCAAACTAACCCTCCAGAGGAAGAAAGAAGGCATGGTTTCACTGTCATACGTCAAAGCAAGCCATATGGCCAACACCCATACCAAGGAGCTGAACACATTCCTCTTAGAGTGAAGCAATTGCATTTGGGTAGAGAAAAGAATTGGGGCCTCGGATTCAGTCTACCATACAGCCACAGTGTATGCCATCTGAGTGTAAAATCAACACAATGAGATGATAATGAGAAGTTAGGCCTTTATGGTTTTACTCTACTCTCCCACAAGGTGGCTTTAAGGGGAACATTTCTGATACAACCTCTAAACTAAAAGGGTTAGACCAAATAGATCTTACATTGGCTTTAAAATCTCACAAATAGTATTTAATCCTCATCTTATTTATCTGATAATGCAACCTAGGTCACCTAGAGAATAGTCAGAATAGCGCTCACAGCAATCATCTACCTACCCTTCTCTCTGAATAAGATGCCAACCTATTTTCCCCAACAACTCAATAGCCGTTTTGATGAGGAACCTTACACACAGCAAAGTTAAATGATTTTTTTTTAGATCACCTAGCATTAAAATGGAAGAGTAGAATTTGACTCAGGAAGGCTGACTCACACCCTGTGGTCTAAATAATCACACATACACTGCCTCTCCAATGCATGTTTTTCTAAACCAAACTCTACTTAGAACTTCCTCTCCTGTTCATTTTCATAATTGACAACTCCACTCATTCAATTGTATAGAATATACACAAAGCTCTTGAGTTCTCCCCCCTCTATGTATATAATAGTCTCCGGGTTCTATGGCTTTTATGGGTTTGAGGTGCTTTAAATCTACCCAGTACTGTCCATCCCACTGTCTCTACCACATGCCCATTACTATGTCTATTAGACAAGGGCTTTAAACTGCATTCCCTGCTTCAAGGCTTGTGATCATCAAATCTGCTGTTCTTCAGCTCAAAGGCTCAGTGACTCCCAGTTTGGCTCTTGAATTCAGACTCTTGTGTGTGATCTGTGGTATTTCTCATAGTCTAATGGTCCTTGAATAAGGCCACAGCCTCAGTCCTTTACAGCTCACCTAAAACACAAACTCTTTGTTTCAGCCATAAAACTACTTTTTATTTTTCTTACATGTCATGTTTTTCCTGCCCTCGAGTGTCCCCTTTTTCTTTCCATTCATTTAACAAGTTGCATTTGTTCACATATTGAAATATGATGTTACCACCTCTAGATATCACTCTACGATACCGGGTCCTACTTTGTGTTCCCCAAATCATCCTATACTTTTTCTTAACATGACACTTGACATAATAAATTGGAAGTTTCCTTTCTAGAAAAAAGGAAACTTTTTGTGTTACACCCCACAATTTATGCTTCTTGAAATCAGGAAGAGTCTTGTGCACAATAAAGTTATTTCAGCAAAACTAAGTCTCAGAGAACCCTATTTCTGGGAAGATGACATAGATATACTACTTTTCCCTACTGCTCCCACAAAATTTAACTAAAAGCTGAGCATAAACACGAGACATAAAATCAATTAAAATAAAAGCATTATAGTGTGAACAGTAATTTGCATGTCTCTAGCAAGACTGAAAAGAAGAGCCAAGACACACATTACTGAAATCTGTGATTAAAACAAGGGTTATCAATACAGACCCCACAGACATAGAAATATAGTAAATAAATATATAAAACAATAAAATTAAATGTGGCAACTTCAGTGAATTTGGATAACTCCTCAAAAATCATAAAGTAACACAAATTAGAAAATATGAACTAGATAATACAAATATCCTAAATAATTACTATTTCTTATTTAAATTTTCTCAAAAATTGGTATTATCACACTAAATTTTTTACTATGGATCTACTACATAGTTAAGGAATTAAATCACTTCTGCACAATCTTTCCAAGAAGAAAGAGGAAATTTATAACTCATTTTCTAAAGTGACCGTTATACCAATGAAAAAAACAGACAAGCATAGTACAAAATAAAATTACAGACCAACATCTCTCATGAATGTAGAATTAAAAAATCTCAACATATCAGCCAACTAGATAAGCAATACATAAAGCAATCATTACACCAAGACCAAAGGTAGTTTGATATTCAAAACCAAATTTTAAAAAACTCTATTATATCAGTAGCCAAAGAAGAAAAATCATGATTATATCTCTTGGTACTGAAATTTTATTTTGCCAAATTCAATATCTATTCATGACTAGAACGTTCAAAAGAATAAAAAAATTGAAAGAAGAAAATTATTCAACGTAATAAGAAATATCCACCAAATGCCTACCCCTGCCATTTCATTTACTGGTGAAAAGTTGAATGTTTTATTCCTAAGACTGAAAGCAGGAGAAATCCACTCTATACACTGACTAAGCATGATGATGGAAATGATACCCAGTGTAGTAAGACAAAATAAGGGAATAGATCTAAAAAGCATACAGTTTAGATAAGACAAAAATAAACTCCCCTGTTTGTAAATTACATAGTTGTGTTGAAATTTCTTAGAACATTTTAAAAATATTTGTGTCCTATCATTGATAAGAGACATTTTAAAAAAATCAGATGACTCAAGATAAAATATTCCCCAGATGGTTATATTTCTAGATATTTGTAATGGACATGTAGACACCAAAATTAAATATACAATTCTATTTTTAGCAGATCAAAACATTTGTTTAGGCATTAATCTACCAAAAATACATAGGCTATATATGCTTAAAATATAAATTATTGATGACAAAAATCAAAGAGCTCTAAACAACCTGAAAAACATATTTGTTTATAGATTGAGAGGCCCAATATATTAAAGATGTCAGATCTCCTTAAAATGGTTGTTACATAGTTCCCATCAAACTCTCAGCAAGGTCTGCTTTATAAATAGATATAGAAGAGATTTTTTCTAAACTTTACATTTAAACTCAAGGGAGTAAAATAGCAAAGACATTTTGAAAAGAAGGAAGGAAGTGAGAGGAAGCAATTGGCCTATTTTGATAACAATTTATATAGATAGCCTAACCACCAAAAGTTCTGGCAGTGACAGAGTTGTAGATCAAATCAATAAAATAGAAAACCAGAAACAGACTCACAAGCATGCCAGACTTGTTTTTGACAAAGACTCAAAAGTGACTCAGTGAGAAAGGTGAGCATTATCAACAAATGGCATTGGAGTAATTGGACGGACATTCATATGTATAAGAACAGGAACCATGATTCATAAGGCCAAAGAGTATCACACCTTACATAAAGCATTGTACTTTCCTTGATAAAAATAAATCACCTATATCAAGGCACTACTAGGACAGGTAGTCTAGTTTATTTTTCTGCTGCTGTTACAAAACATTGACCAGAAGCAACTTAGAGGGGACGGGAATAGTTTTTTTGTTTTGTTTTTGTTTTTGTTTTGTTGTTGTTTCCATCTAACTGTTATAGTCAATCATGGAGGAAAGCCAACACAGGAGCTGAAGCAGAGAGCATGGAGAAATGCTGTTTACTGGATCCCTTCTTCCTTTGGCTTACTCAGTTATCTTCCTCAAATGAAATCCCCTCTTCTCAGGTGTCCTAGTCTGCTTTCTCTGTTGCTACAATAAGCTCTGACCCAAACCAACTCAGTGGAAGGAAGAGTGCATTTGACTTAGGCATCCCAGTCCATCACTGAGGGGAGCTGGGACAGGAACTCAAGACAGGAACCTTGAGGCAGGAACTGAAGCAAAGACTGCTGAGAAATATTGCTTACTGGCTTGCTCTGCATGGCCTGCTCAGCCTGCTTTCTCATACCACCCAGGACCACCTTCCCAGGAGTGGCTCCACTCATCGTGAGCTGGGACCTCCCACATCAATCATTAATGAAGAAAGTGCCTCCACAGACTTACCTACAGGTCAAACAGATGGATGCAATCCCTTAATTAAGGTTCCTTCTTCCTAGATAACCCTCACTTGTGTCTAGTTAACTGTGACAATCAGCATTTCTGCAAGGCAGTGACTCTTTGGAGAGGTGTTTGCATAGCTTGAATGTCTTCAATTCCAACAAAAGCCTCTGAGTGCATAATAAAGCATTTTGTGCATAATATCTAAAATAAACGTTATAGTGTTAGTGTAATTGCTGGCCAGAGATTCTGAAATTCACTCATAGACTCATTCACAGGATAGGCTGTGAACAAGGAGAGTCTGCACTGTGATTTCGTACTCAGGGCTGACCGATAAAGAATACAATGTCATCTGCATTATGCTATGATTCCTGAGGAATCTTTATGAAACATGGGACAGAAAGGAACCACTGCATGGAAGAGCCATGCAGAGGCACGTAACTGTCCTAGGTCAGATGTCATTAAAATAGAGTCAATCACAGACTTGCGTTGATGTGGTGATTTGAGGAAGGAGCAGAGGATAAAAAGGACAGTGCCGAGAAAGAAAGTAACTGTCAAAATGAGCTAGATAGACACCAGCTTCAAATTCATCTCAAGGGAGCTCTGAAGTTCATGTTGGGCACTTAGCCTCAGAGCTGGTCCAATCCTAAGGCAAAGGAAACATCCTAAGAAATCAATTTCTGGCCACTTACTGCTGGAGGTGGGGTGGGCAAGGAGAGATGATGGGAACCCTCTCCAGAGAGACACCTGTTCCCAAGACATTGACTAAGGTCTAGACAGAAGGAAAAGGTGTGCACTATTTTGTAGGCACTGTTTGCTGGGCATTTGGCCCATCTGCCTGAATAAAGAGACCCAGACAGGACACTCATACCCAATGGAGCTACCTCACGTGCTGTTGACACCTTCTTACATTTCCATATCATTTGCTATGCAAGTGCAAGCTGTTTGCCTACAATGCCCTCTGAACAACCACAAGAGGCAAGTGAGGGTGATGAACCACATCCTTGATGTTTAACTGATCTTAAGGCATTTAAGACACATCATCTCCCTCCACTTCCACACATACTAGATTCCCTTTGGGTCTCAGACCTTCACCCCAGGACAACTAAGCCCCTGGTTATTGTTAATTTACCAACAGGGTGGCTGTGCTTCTCTTTGTAGTTATAATGGGGCCTGTGAGTACCAAGAGATACCCCAGGAGATCAAGTCCCATTCGCCACTCTCCTGCCAGGAAGTAGCCATCCTCTCCCCTTGCTACCATTATCATCAATGTCCTTTTGGTGTCTCCTGTTCTCCTAGTTTGAGGAACCCAAACGCCTAGATGGTAGACTTCACTTGATTAATCAAGCTTCTTGCTGTGTCCTGTGGCAGGAGTGAATTTATGAGTTCACAGAGCCTAAATCTTCAGGGAAAGAAACCATAAATCCTTAAGTGGATTGTGTGATGGGATGGCAAACTAAGCCAGTCCTGTGTTCATCTCTCAGTTCCCTAAACTTCAATTCAACCTTTTGGGACCAGGATAACCTACAGCAGCCACTTTTTTAATGTACTACATTTGGGGCTAACGAGGCAGCTCGGTTGGTAAAAAGTGCTATCTGTGAGAGCGTGAGGACCTGAGTTCAATCCCCAGCACCCATGGGTAAAGAGCCAGGTGTGGTGGCACACGCTTGGGATCCCATAACTGGGGAGACAGAAACAGGTGGCTCCTCGGGGTCTTGGTGGCCAGGCAGCCTACCCAAATCAGTGAGTTCTGAGCAATGGAAGACAATCTCAAAGACACCAAGCAGATAGCACCTGAAGATGGATATCCAGGGCTGACCTCTGACCTCAACATACACATTTCTGCACATGCGCCCACCTTCACCTGCACACTCACACCACTTGAACAAATACGCACATACACATAAGAAAAAAAGTAAACGCAAATAACACTTTTAAAAATAAAAATAAAACCTGTTTTGAAGGATGGAGCTCCATCAGCATTAAAGACCATCCAGTGAAAGGTGCTTCAGCTGCACCTTAAGAGACTTTTGCCAGGTTCCTCCAGGCCATCAACCTCAGATTAGTACAGACTGTGCATGATTCTCACACACAGACATGTGCCCTGTGCCTCACTTTCTTGCCATACTCCAGGTCGCCTGTCTAAACTGATACTGTATGGAATCCCACATGTGAACCAGAAGTTCAGGAAGCCTTTGGACAACAGTATTGACTGAGGCACTATGCAAGGGAAGGACTTATACATAGGTGGGATTCTACTTGTTGGGTAAAATCCTGCCTTTTCTTAGATAAAAGGTGCCACTCTGATCAACTTGCTGGCAAATAGATTGATTTTCCCTGAATAAAATATGTTATTGGCGTTCAGATGTTTTGTAATTGTTACATGCAGACAAGGTCCAGCAGCTTCAGAAGTTTTCAGCCCCAGCTAGCATGGGCATGCTTGGGGATGGGCATGGTAGCCTCTATCTCTGCTGCTGGGGCTCTTCTGTTCGTGAGCACAATGCATGAGTCCTGAGGTAGTCATCTACAAAAGAAAATCAAAACACCAGGATCCTGTCTTTAAACACGGTACCATTTCCACATATTTATGTTTAAATCTCTCCCTTTAGAACACCAATGTCCCTTCAGCCACTTCTTTCTCCACACAAGAATAGATAGTCAGATGTGGTACACAAGGCTCTATTCCCCCCCCGGGAGGTTTTTTTCTCCCACTGGCTTAGAAAGTTACCCATAGATGGGTCTATAAGGCAAGCCAACCATTAATGAATTAAGCTTTAGCGTTTTCTTCCTCTGTCAAACAGTGAGGAATGTTGCGGAATATTTGTTTACACTGTGTGAAGATGTGTTGCTGTGATGGATTTATTAAAGAGCAGAACAGTCAATAGCTAGGCAGGAGAGAATAGGTGGGATTTCCGGGGAGAGAGAGAGAACTCTGGGAAGAGAGGCAGGGATTCGCCAGCAGACTCAGAGCAAGTCAGCCATGCCATCCTGAGGAGAGGTAACCGAGCTGCATGGCAGAATGTAGATTAAAAAATACAGGTTAATTAAGTTATAAGAGCTAGTTGGAAACAAGACCAAGCTAAAGGTCAAGCTTTCACAATTAATAAGAAGTCTCTGTGTCTATGTGTGTGCTGGCGGTCAGTCCTGATGAGAAAGTACTCCTACAAAGAAATGCCCTATGAGGTCAAACATGTAAGCTGAATTAGAGGTCAGTGTGCAGGAATGGTAAGCAACAGAGGTGCCTGGGCCACCTGTTCACCCAGTTTCCTGTGCCCCCTAAGTACTTAAGCCAGTATTGAATGGACCACTTCCACTTTATAACAAATTACTTCCGGGCTACCTCAAACTGCTGTCAAGTAGTCCCTAGATCTTGATGATTCTGGCCGCAAAGTTACCCTCACCCCTGACTGGACACTCTGCCAGGGCTGAGTAACATGCCAGAGACATGTTTTAGCGGTTGCCTGCTGTGGGAGGTCCTGTATGCCGTGAACATATGTTGCTATGATTGGCTGATAAATAAAATGCTGATTGGCCAGTAGCCAGGCAGGAAGTACATAGGCGGGACAAAGAGAGAGGAGAATTCTGGGAAGTGGAAGGCTGAGGCAGAGAGACACTGCCAGCCGCCACGATGAAAAGCAGATGTTAAGATACTGGTAAGCCACGAGCCACTTATAAGTGGCAACTTATCAATTACTAGAAATGGGTTCATTTAAGATATAAGAACAGATAGCAAGAAGCCTGCCACAGCCATACAGTTCATAAGTCATATAAGTCTCTGTGTGTTTAATTGGACCTGAGTGGCTACAGGAGCCGGGTGGACACAGGAAAACTCGTTACAGTTGCCCTTAATTCCTTGCTGATGCAGTCTCACCTCAGAACCTCTGCTACCTGTGCTGTGGCTCTCCTTTCTAGGACTGATCTCCAGAGAACGCACTCGGTGGCTTTCTGTACTATGCCCATCTCTCCTACCACACAATCCGACACATGCATGGCTGGTTCCTGCCACACGATTCATTCTTGCTCAGAAGTCGAATCTTTCCATACTGCTTGATGAAGTCAGAAAGCTCTCCAGTATAGAACATGCTCCCTTGAAAGCCTGGACAGGCTTCACCAAGCATAGTGCTTCATTCTTACCGGCAGAAATGCAAGGTGCAGTAATTTGCCCTTTGCTTTGAGTGATAGATCCTGACCTGCCTCATCCCACTGGACCCAAATGTTTCACATAAATAATGGGCCCCTGGATCTTCACAGCACTTCATTCTCATTCTCTAAAGTTAGGTATCTAACCTTAGTCTTTACATTATCGACCAGATGGCTAGAGTCCCTTGTATCTGGCCATACCTTATTGTCCTGGCAATTTCCCAAGACCACAGTTGGTGTGACAACCTTGACCCTGGCCGTCATTTCCAACCTGGTTGCCATTACGGTAATTCTGACTCATTGCTTAGGTTGTTAAGTGCGGCCATCTGGCCTCCTCTACTATTCTGGGATCCTATCATCCCCATTGCTACTAAACAGTGCATATGCTTTGTGGCAACCTGGGGTGACAGTTCCAACCTCCAGCAGCAGCCAAGAAGCTTTTCAAAGGGCCATGTAGTTCCCTTGCTGTCTTGTTCCTGGAGAGGACTGCATTGCCTTATGTGGCACGTGCCACGTGTAAAATTATAATCTGAAAGGTCTTCAGGTGTGAGGGGCGGGGGGGGGCCTATACCTACCACCAAGGGGGGCAGGCACTTCTTACAGAGTCTGATGCTTCTGAGACCTTCCCACATCCCCATCTCAAGTTGCCGGCTCTTGTTCCTTCTCCCAGAAGGTTCTGTCTTCTTTGGAGTTCTGTCGTGTTTCCAATGTAGTCCTGAGGCTGGCTTTCAGCTCTTCCTGCGCCCTGACTGTTTCCCTGAAGACTGCCAATCAGCCTCACTCTCAGGCTGTGCAGTCAATTGCAGATAAACTCGAGCCTGCTTCTCTCTGCAGTGCATCAGTGCACTCAGCCACTACTTACCACTCATGTCTGCCAAACACCAGCCACGCTGGCCTTCCTGTCCTTGCAGGCAGACACTGTGAGCACCTGACATGGTTACTAAAACAGTGTTGCCTTCCCATCTGTATACCTGTGATGGTAAAAAGCCAGGGGTATTCCCAGCCAGGAACACACCTTGATGAAACCGAATTCAGGTTGCAGCAAAGGACTTTCAAGCTTGTTACAGCTTTGAAACCCCAGACTTCCTGGCAGATATTGATGACCTATGGGGGACTCCACAGGATATTTGAAATGGACATTTATGGTAAATGCCATAATCTGGATCCTGTGAGCAGGCTATGCAGGGAAACTGAAAACAAATGAGTATTAAAAGTGTAGATCAACTGACCTTGAGATAGGTTGTCCTATGTTATTCCAAAAGATCCATTGGGACCACAAGGCTACTGAGAAAAACCAGCCTGAAGAAAACGTGATTAAAAGGCACAGTGCTGTAGAACATATTGACTTTGAAGACAGAGGAAGCAGACAAAGAAGCAAGAGACATGGGTGAGGTCTGAAAGCCATAGGGAACAACTCCCCCCAGCCTCCACAAAACATGCCATCCTTCCAGTGCCTGATCTTAGATGGAGAACCCTGTGGTAGCTTCCCAACCTCAGAACTTCGAGGCAACAGACGTGTGTAAGTTGTTAATGCTGATAATCTGCTACAGCAGCACTTGGAAACTCAGAGGTTGTTCTAGAAACAGTGTACCTGTGCCATTTGCTAATCCTTTCCCTATGCCTTTTGTTAATACGTGTGTGTGTGTGTGTGTGTGTGTGTGTGTGTGTGTGTGTGTGTGTGTGT